TCTCCTGCAGTAACAAAGCAAGCTTAGGGACTAGAAAACTCACTGAAGGAAAAAGCAGCAATCAAATGAACGCACGGCGAATGTCCATGGGGCGGCCCCGGCTGGGTCTAGGTGGAAACCTGTCATTGGGACCAGGTCGTCCTGGAAGAGTAGGGTTTGCTCCCGGCAAGGAACCAATTGGGTCAAAATGTGGTCTGAATGGAGGAAACTGGCCTGGTGCTTCTCCTGGGCCAGGAATGAGTGAGTTAATTGGGTCTCCAACATATGGAAGTGTTGGTCTCTCATCATATTCTCCACCAATGATCATTGGGGGATAGATTGGGTTTGATGGGAATGGGTTGGGAGGAAAGGGATTAGGATAGAATGGGTTGGGATGAAAAGGCATTGGATGAGGTGTAGGGGGCAGAAACATCATATGCCTCCATCTCAGGGCCTCCTTCTTCTGTTTCAACTTTTTCTTGTATAGCTGCAGACAGAAACAAAGGCATTTTAAAGCTCTGCAAGTGCTCCGTCTTCCAGCTTCAGCAACTGCATTCAGTTCTGCAGCACATCTCAGAAAATCACTCCTCACCAGTCTGAAAACCCAGAATAGCAACTCCCCTGTCGGCCAAAGACCAAATCTGGCACCTCTAGAAGACCCCTAACCCCCATACTGGGCATGCATTATGTAACTTGTTGATGCTGTTTTCTCCTACTCTGACCAAACTCAATGTGTATGCAGAACACCACACCTCTAAACTAAAATTTAACTCAAAGTTACTGCCTTCCAAAGTCTATACTTTATTCTCAAATTAGCCTGTGGAGACTAACCTCAGAGAGATTATACAAAAAAGCCACCTACTTCTTTCCAGTCTGTGTCACGAGGCCTTGCAATAGGATCTACAAAGAGAAGCAAAAAATTAAGAAGAGCAATCTATGTTAAGTAGCTTTCATGCCACAGATGTTGACAGTTTGGTCAGAACTTGCAGAAGAATCAAGAGATGAAAAAACACTTTTGGTCAATACATCTTTCATATAAACAATGCATCTTAAAAAACATAAAGCTCCAGGCCTATTCAATACCCATGTCCATTCCATATCCACACCCATTCTACGTAAAGCATCATTTCCAAAACTTGCTAAGTTAAGAAATCCCAGAAACACTGTCCCCATCTGACTTCTGACAGCACTTCCCTCGATCACCATATTTCTTCAATCTCTTGTGACAAAGTATAGCAGGAATCCCTCTTCCCTCCACTTCCTAATATCTGCAAGAGCCAGTACACCAAGGTAGCCAGGGAACAGATGAAAACAAGGCAAGTCTGCACAATGGGAAGAACTACGTGGTCCCTCAGAAATGGCTCAGCAGATTGTCACCAGTTTTCACGGCAGAAAACTGTGCACCCACCTAAATTACACCTGACCAACCGTACTGATTAGCATCACAAATGACTGCACTTACAGTGTTTAAAAATTAGAAGTGGTTGCCTGAGGAGCCTCTTATCAAAAAATCTGTCAGACCTAATCTCTCTGTTCACCTGAGAATGTAATTCGAAGACCACAGTCTCAACATTACCTCGGAAATCTCGCAGATACATAAACCTCCACAGAAGCTGGTCATTTGAAGCTGCGTAAAGATCACGGCAAACAGCAGAGAGAGAGATGAGTGAACGGACATCCAGAAGTCTGAAAATCCGAAGCTTGAGCTCAAGAGGAAGGACCACTAACCCAAACACATCTGGCAAGTTCAGAGCTACAAAGTGAAGAAAACAGAAGAATTACTTAAGTGGTGCAGAGTCTAGAGACCCTAAAAGAATGGACATTATAATCTTTCCCTTCAGTCATTTCCCTTTGATGCCTGAGTTGCACCACTTTTCTCAAAGTACTGTGACATGACTTCTTATAAAACAGATCTCTTGCAACTCTAAGTACATTTACAGAGTGCACAAATAGCACAAACGGCACTTTATACTGACCACTGTTGGGCACTGTAAGCCTAAGAAACGTTCCACACATCTAACTATGTTTATAGGCTACAGAACAAAGAAATAGGTAAAAAAAAAAAAGACCTGCCTGATTTCATTAGCCCACAAAACCCACATTAAACACAGAGCACACGCTTCACATCAAACCTTCCCGCACTGAAGTCTAGAGGCAATGCCACTGAATAGTCCTCAGAATACAACACTGAGACCTTTTATGGCAATACCTGTGCAGAGGAAGCCTGGCTTCCCACTGCTCCACAAACACCAGCTTGGGTTACTTCCTACCACACTTTCCAAGCCCTCAATGACCAGTTACAGAAAAAATAATTCCTGGGGTTAGACTTCCAAATATGATGCTATATAAATTTTTCTGCTTTGACAAAGAAATGGATCAAAACTACAGAACCACTGCCACAAAATTATTGTGGTATGATTTTCTCATCACTAAATGTGGAAAACAGCCACTCCATTTCAGTGTCTTAAGTGAGACTAGAGTAATCAAAAGTTAAAACCAAGAAACTATCATTATATTAACATTTTATGAGATACAAAGATTAATGTAATTTCTTTAGAATGTATCAATTACTTTATGATCACTCTTTATATACCCAGTCTCTAAGACTTTTCCTTCAAGGCTTTAGACAGACCCACTTCCTTCTATCCTCAAAATTGAAGTTCCATCTCTAATTGCAAATATTTTCTCTTACCTTGTCGGGCAGCAGCCAGAAGAGAGTAAACCAGCTGGTCTTTAAAGAGACGAGATAATTTCTGAAGGTCTTTGTAAACACCTGCAACCTTTTCTATCAAAGAAGAGAGGTAAAAAGCATAACTTCAGGAGGTTATGATGCAAAAATTACACAAGAGCAGAAGAAATCTGGTTTTCTTATAACCAGAACTTTAACCTGCTTGTAATTTTGATGGGAGCAGTTCTGCAGCTAGAATGTAACAATCATGCGATAAATAATTCATTGGCAAACTACAGGCCAGTTCCATGGTCAGACTAGGCTTTCTCTTGGCCTTAAAAAGCTCCATTAGGAGAAATACTTGAGTTCTTCAGAAACAAACTTACTCTCGAGCTGTCAGAGCTTCCTTTGTCAGATTTCAAAGCTCATACGTAACATGCATGTATGTTGTAAATGCTTGCAATATTCATTTTTCTAACAGGGGTGTTTTTCCACGCTGTTCTCTAAAGAAACAGGAGCCAGAAGACTCTACCGTTGTATCAGACATATTTCAGTGCTCAGTTACTCTTCTAAAGCCTTTCGATTAGACTGGTACCTCAGCGACTGAGGCTACTTAGGACATAGTGTATGACTGAGTAAGCCTCAACTGTCGACAAAGCAGTTTATAGACACTTCAGAGAGCAAAAGGCTAGTTAGGTCTGTGCTCACAAGGATCCTCACCAAGGACTGGTCTTTCTCTGCTCCCCCGCCTTAATCCTCCCTCTAATTTTGACATTCTGGAGAGAGCGCTATGTGGTCAGCACACGTTTTCTGACTAAAAGAATATAACAAATACAGTGCCACAAGAAGAGCATAGGTACCATCAGCCTCTGAAGTCCTGAACTGCCAGGTAGAAAGGGCATATAATCCAGCACTGCTGCCCCAGTGATTCACACATACACTTAGGACCTCATAAATAACAGGCATATGGGCCAAAGGATGACTCGGGCTTTGCAAAGTTCTTTCCTTACGCACTTAATCAAATGAATTCAAATTGTTTCATTAGCAAAATATAAGTAAACGGCAACACTCTGAATTCCTTTTACCACAAAGCTATGACTCACCTAAATGGTAACCACATTTTTATTCTTATTTGTTATTCTTTACCTATTTGGTGCCCTACTGAGGTATATCCTTACTCACTGTGTAACTTCCTTACTTTTGAGTTTAGTACTATGAATATCATAGCTCAATCATACCTGTCTCCTGAAAGCAAACGAAGGATGCTGGCAATAAGTGTATTGTCTTAATGCCTTTTATCTCTTTGTTGATTTTTAATGTTGCTGCAAATATAAAGGGGAGAAAAAAAAAGGACATTTCAAAATTTAAAACACACAGAGATGACAAATGATCACTTCCTTACTGCCTTGCCCTTCGGAGGTGTTTTACTTTCCTCCCTCACCAGATTCCTTCAAGGAAAATACCAAACTCTAGCAAGCAGCTAGACAAACAAAAATTTCAGAAAAAACAAACAGAATTTAAATAGCAGGGAACAAACAAAGATCTTGGTGACAGAAACTAAGCATTGCCTTCAACAATTCTATCACGTGGAAAGAGATGTAACACAGCTAAACGAGGTACACAGCAAGCCATTATTACAAACCAGTTGTTAAAGAAGTATTAACTAGAGAAAGACTCAACAAGCTTACTAGAAGAACACTATACGCATGGTAGCTTTAACACTGTCCTAAATCTAACTTTTACCTGACTTCAACATTTGATTGGTTAAAACATTTGATCAAAATGTGTACACATTCTGAGAAAACATAACGGCTTATATAGCATAATCAGTTACAATTCTACAAATAAAAAAATCAAAATTTTAGTCAAAGATATCTTGAACTTAGAATGAAGTGCCAATTTAATATTGGTTCTCCAAAAAAATGGGTAATTCTTCAAATGCTAAATAAAGTACAAAAAAGAAAGAAAAAACCCAAACCAAAAAGACAAACACAAAACCTCAAAAACCCCACCAAGTGATATGGAAGTTGCTTCAAAAAATTAAACTTTCCCAAAATTTTCTGAACTGAATAGCTTAAACTAAACACCATTTTTGAGACCACAGTGAAACTGTTACAGTGCTACAGGAAATATACATTAAAGCGAAAGAATACATAGTCTGGAAGTTGTCTGTAAGTCTTGCAAAGAACATGAGACAAGATAAAATACTGTAACTGGAGCAAATCTATCTCTTTTAACGTTTGGCAAGATATACCAAAGTTCCTATAAAAGGAAACAAGAGACAGATTTCTACAACATTGCAATGAAAAGGCCAGCTGAATCCCCTAAGGATTGACCTGTTATGATTAGAAGGAGAGAAGCAGTTAACAGGGAGACAGGAAATGCCAAGAACATTCACCAGCAGGAAGCAGCATCTCTTGCACCTCAGCAACCTGGATAATCAAGGTGCAGTTCTAAATAGAGTGCACAAAAGCACATTTAAGTTCTCTCTTGCTAAACAATGGTGATACTTAGCAATGGGCATCCAGAATAAAAACTTGACTAACTTACCATTAATAGCAACAAGATCTCCCAAAGGCACACAAGTTAAACCAGCAGAACCTTCTTCACAAAGAGGATGCGTGTACTGTAGCTTATAAACACCATTCCCTCTCCATTTCTCTGGCATAGACACTGCCTTGGCTTCTGTCCCCTAAAAGTACACAGAAATAACAGTGCCATACTTCAGCAATGTACCAAGACTAAGGGGTGAAAAAAGAGAATTAAAAGTTAGGAACTGCCAGAATGCCGCTTGCAGTTCAAATCTTAGTTTAGTCCCAGTGCACATTATGGTACAGACTATAATTGCATGACTATATACTATTTTCCCCAAGACTAACTGCAAATCTAAGGAGTTGTTCAGTAATTTTTTTGTTCTGCCCCAGTTTCTGACAGGGAGGGTTGTTCAGTGAGCAGACTCACACCTATTTCTTTGAGACATGTACTTCATTCTGTCATTTTTTCCAGCATTCTAACAACTCCTGCATATATATTAATTTACTGCATGAAAACATGTTATTGCACCTTTTCTGTGAACTTACAAGGTCTGACAGGGCTTGAAGAATCATATCTTGAAATCCATTCAAATACCTGAGTGGACTAATAGTTTTTCCCTTTCAATTTCAGTATGAAAAGGCTCAAATGGAATCCCAGAGGTGGACACAGTATAATCACAAGCACAAGCAGACTCTCTCTCTTTCCTCTTAAATCTGCACAGCAATCGTCTTTCTTAATTCCAAGGCTACTGACTGACATAAACTTTCTTCCCAGTGACAAATGTACTCTTCAGGTAGTATTTCAGACTACAGGAATGCAATTAACTTAGCAGACATATTAAACTTGTACTGGTCAACCAGACACCTAAACTGACCCCCTACATGTGCTTAGTTAGCCTCACCACAAGAAAAAACATGAGAATTTAAACACCTTCCCTGAAAGCAAATATTTTTGCATGTTTAGCCATGTATTAGTTAACATACAATGCATATCTGAAAATCCAAAGGGAAAAGGTGAATCCATGCACTGTACAGAGGTACTGCCATAGGTGCTTGACTACGAGTTAGATACTTCTGTAGGTTACTGGAACAAAACCCTAACTGAACTCAGCTAAAGTTAATATGCCATAGGTGCTTGACTACGAGTTAGATACCTCTGTAGGTTACTGGAACAAAAGCCTAACTGAACTCAGCTAAAGTTAATACGGAATTGGAGACAACATTTTGTCAGACCTAGGCCTTGTTAACCATTGACACCATTGAGATGACACTGATGCTTCAGGCAGTGCTTTGATGAAGTGGTATAATCTGAGCACAACTACAGAAGCTCAACAGTATAAAACAGGAACAGGAGGTTATCAGCTGGGTCCCAGTTAGGCTGAGGACTGCAACAAACACGGGGACAGGCCTCTTCTCTCACACCTACAAGCAGCTCTCGTCTTTAGCCTTAAGGCTTACTGGTCAGGCAAAGGAGAGAAGCTGATACTTCAGTAGCCCCTGCTGCTGACACACTCAAAACCAGAAGTGGATCTTCAGATGCATCTTGTATCACACATTCCCACGACACTCCACAGCTTTCTCATACTGACCAAGAAACTTCCTGATTGCTTGTGCACCTACCTGAGGCACATAGCCTGTCTCCATCATGAGAAGATGTACTAGAACGATCAAGGCATCAGTGGCACTGGTACACTCAGCAGAAAGGTAGAGCATCTCTAAGGAATGTGGTATTTCACCATCAGCGGCTTCACTGCACAGCATGGGTTCGGAGGGATAGGAACCTGTACCTTCTTCCAGGTCAACATCTTCTGGGACTAATTCAGAAGGAAATTCTAGGCTGGATCCTGCCTTCAAGAGAAAGCAAAACACACCTTCATTCAGAAAATTACACCTCTATATACAACAATATTATTCGTCTGCTTATTCCAGTCCTCACAGACACCATGTCAACTCTGCTGATATCTCATGCAAGTTTTACAGATTGATTACATCTCCCTTTTCTAGCATCCCAGCTGGAGACTGGGATTATACACATAGCCTCTGTGCTTTTTGATATTTATAACGCAAGCCTTTAATAAAAGGGTCTGTCGTTTGATTGCATATACTACTTCAAGACAAAGTGATAATTTATTTAAACTTCATCAGAATTTTCACAACATACACAGGAATAATTTACTCCCTGTAGTACCGCCATTTATTTAATTATAGCCAACACACACAGCAGGTAACCAAAATGATAATTTGGACTGCTTAGAAATACAATAGGCCTAAATAGCAAGGGAAAAAAAAAATCTTCAATGGAATACATGTGCTGACACTTGAGGCGCACTGTGGTTTTAGCATGACTTCCTTTCTTCTGTCAAAATCACACCATATTGTTATGTTAACTGATAAAATCACTCACAGACACATTAAAAAAAGTAATGAATGAAAACTACAAGCAGATTTACCCAAGGCAAGCGTCAGGAAAGGGAAAAAAAAAAGTCTAAACAAGCTGTAACTATTTGTCCCCCACATCCACGCCCAACCGTACAACACACCCTTATGTTTGTATGAGGCTGGCATGGCCATCAACTTGTGGAACTTCCCTTCTCTTATCAACAGCAATGGACATAGCCCCAGTTAACCGCTGATTTTCAGACTTCTAGAGCTCTTCTACAATGACACTTAGCTGCTTAGAAATTTTCCTGCCATCTTCCTCCAAAATTGTGGTGAAAGATGTAAGAATCTTTCATCTTGCCTTCCAATATTAAATAAATATGAAACAGATACTTCTGCACAGCTTACTACAGTCTGACTGACAGACATAAGGAGCTTGGATGTCCACAGCACCACATAAGGATCATTGCTCCTGACAAGAATCAATGGGACAACAGCCCAGCTACATTTTATTTCATTATTTACAATTCTTTTTAACCTAAATCTTAATTTTCATACATTAAAATAGTATTTTTAAGACCTCATATCAAGGTTGCATCAAGGGACATTTTGTATTTGAAATTTGTTCCAAAACAAAAACACTACTTGCTCAAGTTCCTGTCCAAAACAGAAAGGACTGTGTAACAAGACAGATCGTGGCACTACGCTGTACCTGCAGAGTCTCCTCTAAGGAGACTCCATTCACCACAGGACCCAGCAGTTGGTGGGAGCTGTTACCTGCTTAACTACTCTATGCACTGTCACACGGGAAACAAACCACTGACTAATATGAAAAAATGTGCCTAGCAGCTGCACGGAGCCTACAGGGTCATACAGATGCACACTTACAAAGCGCGAGGAAGAAGCCACCTCAGCAACACAACCTCCACGCACAAGACAGACAGGTCTCACTCTCTGGCAGGCTGTCTGAATCACAGGGAATGGTTACAACCCATCAGAGGGGAATCGTACACTCATCTTCTGGGTGGTGCTGCCGACAGGCAGTGCCTGCTGCATTTGTTCAGTACCCAGAATCAGTTTCCTCTAGAAAACAGCACGGAGGCAGGTAAGAAACACACTCCTAACTTCCTTATGGGAAGTGCGTGTTCCAGCAAAAACATTAAATCCTGTAAAGATGTCAGACCTGAAACCTCTCAGGGTCTCTGAACTAGCTTCTGTGTCACATCTAACATACAATGAACAGAGACAAATATCCATCCAAATAACTGGCTACATGTCAGCCAAGTATAATGAGCTAAATATCCTGAAAAGATTCTCTACTATATAGTACAGTAACTGACACAAGAAGGTACCTTCTTTTTTGCCTTGTGTTGTACAGGGCAATTCTCGTGTACTTACCCTCTCGTCACTCTTGTGAACTGTGACCAGAGCTTTCTGGTTGTCAGATTGCTCATTCCGACCTTCTTCTATTGGACTGTTGGCCTGATTTTTGTTGGGGATCAAGGTGGACGGCTCATGACCATTCTCAAGCAGGGCAGGAGCAGGAGGAGGAAGAGGAGGTAGGCTGGGTTGTCCATCTGCTTCTTCTAGTAACAAGCATATCAAATCACCAGAAACAATCCCATATGAAGCTAAAGTCTTCTGATCTTCTGTGAGAGCATCTTTTCTGTTCAGTGTTATTGAAAACTCAGTGTCAGAACTGCAAAACAGAAAAGAAAAAAGGAAGCATGGTTGGCTGCACATTGAGGTATAGTTCTAAATGCATACTGCATACCACAGTAATACTATGCTGTGGGTCTTAACCCATTAATAATTAACTACATATCAAAGGAAGAGGGACATAAAAATATGGTACGAAATTGTTTCCCCCATGTTTCTCTCCCAGTATGTTTTACGTAGTGGTAGCTGCTTGGTAGGTATATCTTAATTTACAGTAATTGCTCATAAAACAGTTACGAAGGAAAGCAAACAAGTACCCTCCAAATAAAAAGGCATCACACCTGGCAAAACAAGCCTTAAATAAACTACTGGCTGAGATCATTTCAAAATAAAACAGCGTTGCAGACTCCACCACCTTGTTTTCCGATTAAGCAAAACATTCATTTCAACAGGTCAGCAGCTGCCCTGCAGCAAGTAATGGTGATAAGGTGCTTCAGCACAAACACCCACCAAAACCAAACAACAAAACCCAAACAGGAA